AAGAGAGTAGTCACACAACCGCTCATTTTATTTAAGAAAAGAAAAACGTAAAACGACTTCCCCCACATTCCTAACCTGAATGTACTTGAAGGCTCTTTTTGCAGAGGGTTTGGAGTAATCAAATAATTTCAGCGTGTAGTCCCTGGAGCCAGAGGCGAGGATCTGTTCGGTTGGGTGGAAAGCGAGACACGTGACCTCGTCCACGTGGTCGTACAGAGTCCGGATCACCGGGTGGTTTTCCATGTTCTGCTGCGCGGTCTCGTTCATCATGACCTGGGCGGCCGAGAGAGGAGGCGCGCAGTGTGAGGTCCGCCGGACCCGAGGACACGCCCGCGGCCCTGCCCGGGCGGACGCCCCTCCCTCCCCTCCCCTCCCCCGAAGGCACAGGAGCACGGGACGGCAGCTCTTACCTCTATGGGCATGGCGCTCTTGGCCAGCATCCTTTCCGTGTCCAGAATCTTTATGGAGGCGTCAGCAGACCCAGTAGCTATGAGCTGCCCGTCTCGGCTGTAGGTGGCCACGCGGCACGGTCCTTTATGGGACGTGACGTAGCAGGTCTCGTACTCCGACGCCTCTGGGGACATGGTCTGCACGTCTGCGTCGAACTCCAGGTCAATCCCCGTGCCTGGGGCGACAGTGTCGGAGCGGCCAATCGCATACTGAACGGCTGTATCGTCATTTTCCATTCCTGAAAGGTGCAAAATGGAGGGCATGGAAAACGTCATTTTAAAAGGCCAAGACAAAGTTCGGGATCTAACCTGGGAAAGATGACACCTAATGTTTGACCAAAATAGGCGCAGTGGCCAGGGCGCTGGCACAGCGACCCCCTGCAAGGCAGTATGGGTTGCAAAAGGTTAGGCTCCCGTAAGTAGTCACCTCAGCTGGTTTTTGCCTCCGAAATATAACTACAGAAACCCCAAAAAGTAGTTCTATCAATTGTCCACTTTCTCCCATTCCAGGTTTTAATATTGTTAGTGCCGAGACCTGTTCCTAGCAGCTCTGACGTTTGTTCAGCCAGGAATACTGTTAAATGCACTGAAGTTTATCGCTGTGTGTTTAAGCTGGGGGCCAGGGAGCTTGGCCGGCGGGAGCGGCGTCTCCGTGCGCCAGGGCTGCAGTCTGGTCAGGGCACGCGCAGGAATCGACCAATGAATGCACGGATGGGTGAAGCCACAAATCGATGTTTCCCCACCTCTAAAATCAATAAACTTAAAAAGATGTGTTTCAAATTTAAAACAGCTCCACCCATCATATAAACAATGTTTATCAGCACAGGAAAAATCAGAAAGGCAGATGAACAAAAAATAAAAGTGACCTTCCATCACCCAGAGATAACTAATTACTACTGAAACGGTGGCATAAGTTCTCCTGGACCTCTCTCCAGGCGCAACGTTGTTTCACTTCTTACAACACAACTGGAGCCACATCACATGACCGATCTGCACAGCGGGCGCTGCCAGGTCAGAGAGCGTGAGCGTGCCTGGTGACTGTGTGTTTCGGTGAGTTTTCTGTGTGCTGTCGGGTGGGGAAAGGCCCTGGTCTTGATGGACGTGCAGCCATGCTGGGGGAGGGATGGACTGCACGGGCAACAGTACGGAACAGTCGAGGCAATTTCAGACCATTCTGGTACGAAAGGAGCGAGACCGCACGTCAGAGTGCGTGGGGAGGCGTGGGCCGGCAGCGGGGCTATCTCCGGAGAGCCGACGCGGACCCTGGGCCGACAACTGGGGCTGAGACTCGGGGCCAGTCAGCAATCCAGTGTCGGCATGCTCCAGCGTTCGGACAAAGATGCTGAGGCTGGAAGCAGCTGGAAGCCTTTATGACCTGGGTCACGCCTGCTCTTCAGCACCTAACGCTGCACTCCACGCACACCAGGGACGCAACCACACGGAAGCAGTCCGGAACAGCTCTGCTGTGTGAGACATCCGCAACCCCGTCACGGGGCCGGGGAACCCGCACCCACGGGCGACTACCTAGCTTGATGAGGTGCAGGAGCTGCTCGGAGGGCGCGCACACGGACTGAGGCTTGATCTCATTGATGAGCCCGTTGGCGATGCTGATGTAGCCGTCGTAGAGCAGCTGGCTGATGATCAGCTTGTAGAGCTGCTGCCGGTCCTTCAAGCCCACTTTGGTCCTGTACATCTCGGAGGAGAGGAAGACAACGTCTCTGCCGGCTGCAAAGGGAGAACAGGCAGGGGGTGAAAGGGAGCAGCACCAGTAAATCACAGGAGCCTCACAGATATGGGGTCCGACTCGCAAGGCTCACACCCCAGCTCTGCTACCTCTGCCCAGCGACTCGTCTGAGACCGGGTCCGCGGCTGTCAGTCACGTCAGTGAAGGCACACAGGGCGGGGCACACAGAGGTCACTCAGGTCACGCCAGCTGACTGATCGAACTACCCACCCGCGTTTCTATTCTTCCCTGCTCTCCCAGAGTCCTCCACTTCTTCTGTTGATAAAACATCAGCTGGGGTTTGCAACAGGTAAGCCAGGGGCTGTCGCTGGGTGTCCAGACACGACTGTTTCCACCAGCCGAGCTGTGCGTTTACTGAGGTCAGTTCTGTTCAGGCTCGTTCTAAAGCAACTGAGGCTAAGTTATAGATTTAGGTGGTAAATCAAAAGGTGAGGGCAAAAAACCTACTATGCTATGAAAACTTAAATGCTTTGGAAAGAGTGAATTGCTTCATAAAATATTGGCAAATAAATATGGCCAAAACAATAATAAAAAAGAAGAAGAAAAAATTAAAAATCTGAAGGAAAGCACTTTCATTTATTTACAGGTGGCCAAGTTCTCCCTCGGTCTTGGAAAGTGAAACAGAAAATGGTAGACGGTAAGTTTTTGGTTTGTGGGGAAAAAGGACTCTAAATGGAGAACATGAGACAATTTGATGGTCAAGCCAGTGTCTGCACGTATGCGCACCTCAGGACCGATACCCGAAGGCTGGGGGAGCCTGGAGACAGCAATAAGCAAAAGCCACACGCAGAGAGGTGGCTGCGGCAGAGAAGACAACGGAGGTGAGAGCGCGGGGGAGATGACTGTGAGAAAGGAGAGGACTGAGTGGGCAGCAACACCAGCACCCCCAGTACTGCTGTGCTTTACGGGGGTGATTCTGGAAGGGGGGTGTTAGAGGAGAGGGTTTGGAAAACCGTGTCTTCTAACTACACAGCTCCCTCTGGAGAATTACTGAGGCTCCTGATCATGAGAACAACTATCCATTCCTGAGTGTTTATGTTTTATCTGAATCCTGAACACCATCCAATCAAGAAGGTCCTGTACAACCCTGCTCGCAGATGAGGAGGGGAAAGAACCTGCCCAGGGGCTCACCATTCGTGCCTGGGCGGACCAGGGCTGGGAAGCAGGTGGTCCGACTCCGGAGGCTGCTGTTCCTGACCACTCCCTGTCCGGCCCCTTAACTTAACAACACACTAGCTATGCATTATGGGACACTCAGTACAGTAGAAGATGCACACTGTGCAGGTCATTGATACGCATTACCTCATTCAGTCCTCGTTTCATCCCATTTAGGAGATGGGCAACTGAGGCCCAGAGTGGTTAACTCACCCAGGATCAAACAGCTTGTAAATGGCAGAGCCTGGATCTTCACCCAGGCTATTTGACCCCCCAGCCCGAGCCCGAATCTTATTGCGCAGTACTGATGGGTGTTAATGACAACAGCTAACACTTACTAAGCACTTGCCAGACACCATGCTAATAAGAACTTTCGAAGGGAGCAGTAGCTCACTGCATAAAATCAAAGTACACGCAGAAACAAATGCATACAAATCTATGCTTGTGTACACAACACTAGGACTCGACAGAGAGGATGAAACTGGATCAAAGACGTTAAGAAATCCACTGATAGTAAATAAAACGTGGCTGAGTAACTCGTGCAAGGTGAGAGTGGCCGCCAGGATCGTCCCTATCAGAGCCCAGCACTTAACCGCTATTCCATGCCGTCTCATTCACACGTGCCAGAAGCATCGAGGGGGTGTACAGACAGAGTATAAAAAGCAAAGAAAGGAGGAACCCCGCCTCTCAACTCCCACAAAACGCTGATCTCGCCCGGCTACTAAGCGCCTAATTACCACCCCCCAATTGCAGGTGAGGACGCCGAGGACAGACGAACCCAACCCAGAAGTGGTTATCTTCGGAGGTGGAAGACGGACCCGAGAGAGAACACAGCCCCTTCCCGGGCGCTCCGCTACCATCCCGGCACAGATGTGAACTAAGGATGCAGTGAGGGAGGGAGGGCTCAGGCCCAGCCTGGCAACGCAGGACGCACGCCTTCCCGCTCACCATCACCCCCTCCTGCCCCACTCCAGTCCTTCCCGTGATCTCCCAAAGGCTTCAGCCCGACCGCCCCAGCCGCTCTCCACGGATCCCGGGCCCCCAGTACCCGATAGTCCAGCTCTCAGTCTCCCGCTCTTGTAGAAAAATGGAGGCGAGGACCCTGCCCGATCGATCACTCTGGGCGCACATCCACTGCGCACGAGCAAAGGACGCCGCGCCGAGCGCTGCGCTATCGATCGGCCCACTCTCACTCGCCTGTCTCGCCATATTACTTACTGGCACCTTTGAAAGTTTCCTTCACTTCCTTCGACTTTATCTCCTACGAGGCGACCCTGACGCCAAGGGGCTTCTATCTCACAGATGATAGCACGTCCCTGAGAGCAGCGCTGGCGCTAGAACCTCCACGAGACTGGCAGGCCGTTGGCTCCCCCACTTCCGGGTTCTTACGGAGCAAGGGCGCCTGCGCGCGCTGTCTGCTTTCCTTGGACGTGACTCAATCCGTCGCATTGGCTGTGAACCAATGAGAAGGCAGCGCCTCTGTAGCCCAGGCCAATCAGCTTTCCGGTCAGAGAGAGTAACTCCTATTTAAATTGACTCTTTGAATCCTAACGGCTCGGCTTTCGGAAGGACGCGGCGGCCTTGGCTCCGGGGCCGGAGCTAGCAGGTGCCCAGGCCTTGGAGCAGCTCCTTGAGGCGAGAGGGCGAGGGCGGCCGGCAGGACCGGTGGGAGGGAAGCGGGCGGTGGGGCCGCGGGGCTTGCAAAGGAAGAGTTGGATGGAGAAGGCCTTCGTCGGCCCCGCATCCCCCTCGGTCCTCTGCCTGTGCCCCCTCCCCTGTCTGTCCCCCTCCTTTCCCCGTCTCCCCTCCCTTCTCTGCCCCCTCGCCCCCTCCCTGGTCTCCGTCCCCCGCCCTAGCTTCCCCAGCACCCTGCTTCTCATCTGCCCCTGTGTACCGAGGCGCCCTGCCTCCTGGTCTTTATGAAACCCCTGGAGTGGATGGGCTGGTGGGGCGGGGATGCTTTCTGCTGAGATTCTCGCCTCCAGTGAGCACCTGGGTGGGAAAACGCACGGACGGTGTTTACTGCCCTGGCGTTTACGGCCTGGTGGGGGTGGGGAGGCAGGCGGCGAACCAGCAAGATTAACTTCCAATGGCGATGAGCTTACGAAAGTCATAACGCAGTGATGTGTGCGGTTTACCGGGGGGACAGAGCAGCCAGGGAAGGCCCTTGTCCTGGCCAGGTGGATGAGTGGGCGAGTCCGTGGTCACCTCTTGGGAGAGGCCTTCCCGGGCTCCTGCTCCTGGAACCTTAGACGCCCCATGTTCCTTAAACGCGTAGACCCACCTAATGAGTCAGAAGCACTTGGATGTAGGACTTAGGTGTCTAGTTTCATCCAGCTCTCCAGGTGATTCTGAGGTTGCATTGAGAACTAGCGCTGTAGCCCAGCGCGTGCTCGTCTTGTGGGGATGTGGTTAAAATGCAGCTTCTGACCTGTTAGCTCTGAGGCTGGGCCTGGAAGTTTCTCTTTCTAACCGTCCCTGTACTGTCCTGGACTTCCTGTGTCTCCTCCTCCTTAACTGTCCTTGATTGAATTAAGCTGCCTTCCGCACCCTACTCATTTCGTTTCCTCTCCACCCTTCGTTGTTTGTGTAGATGTTAATTAGTAGGTTCATGAAAGAAGGGAAGGTGTAAACCCACAGCGCTATTAGATCTAACGGTTTTCCTGTTTAGAGTAGGAAGATTCCTGGTTTGAACCTCCGGGGTCTTAGGAAGGTCACCTGGTCATGTGACTCCGGAACCCGGCTGTAGACCAGACTCACCTGAGAAGCGGTCTTCCTGGGCCTTCCTCCAGAATTTCTGGATCAGAGTCTGACTCCATTCTGCTTACTGCTAACATTCCTGGGAAGAAAAGCGAATGAAGTGGGAGCAAGTGCCTGTAGTTTCTGAAGACGCATCTGGCCCGTGGGATCGCATTAGTCGGCTGTTGCTGATTAGTAGGGAAAGGGGAGAAAGTGGTGGAGCTAGTGAGACATTAACGTTTGCATAACAGAAGCGTTTGTTTCCGTCTCTTTTGTCCACTGTTCACACCAACTCACTGTTTGAAGTGAGGACTTTAGGCCCTTTCGGCTGCAGCCCAGCTTCAAGGTGGGGTGATTTGCATACTCAAGAATAACTGTGAAAGCGTGGGGGTGGGGAGTGCTTTCTTGCCGGAGTCTGGAATTCAGAGGACACGTTGGGGAAGAAAACTACAGAAAGTACAGAAAAAGCTCTGCTTTCCTGTTGATGTTCTACTTACTTGGTAGGTTGGCCTGACTCACGGAGTGGGCTTACTGAGTGTTACAAACTGTTTTTATGATAGTTTTGTTAACGGACTAATTGATTCCCCAAATGTTGGCGTACATACTATATATGGCCCAGGCATGTTCTGGGGGGGACCTGGAACAAAAGGACCATGCCCTTGTTCTCATGGAGCTTGCTTTTTGAGATCCTGAGCTGGTAGCTGGACAGCTTGAGTCTCGGGAGGCAGACAGTAAAAAAGCACAAGTAACATTATGTGAGATGTCAAGTAAGGCCCATGAAAAAGAATGAAGGAGAGATGGTCTGAAACTGGAGTGTCTGACCAGAGGCTGAATGCGATGGAGGAGCAAGCCAAGTTTGGGGAAGAGCTTCATGGGGTGGAGGGGACAGGGAGTACAAAGGTCCTGTGGCAGGGGGCTCCTGAGGAAAGAATGGAGCCCGCCAAGGCTGGTGCGCAGCAGCTAAGAGGAGATGAGGTCAGAGGTCGTCAGGGTCCCCATTCTGAGACTGCGGAGGAGGAGGCCCGAGCCTGAGCTAAGTGAGGAAAGGAGTGGAAAGCAAGTGACTGAGCTTGTCTGCTGCCGAGCACCCCAGGAAGGTGGAGGAGGAGGAGTGACTTGTGGGTTGGCGCCGCAGGGGTCACTGAGAGGTGGACTACTGGGTGTGGGCGGGCTCCAGGGAGGTGAGAGAAGTGAGGGTAGTAGAGAGACCAGTGAGGACTGTTCTAGAGCGTCGCTGTTGGAAGGGGAGGTGAGTGATGTGGCTTGAGGTCAGTTGCGGTGTAAAGAGGACTTTTTTTTAAGGCAGGAGGGACGGAAGCAGGCGGAAACACTGATGGAAGCGGTCTGTTTGAGAGGAGGTGCTGGAGCGGAGGGGGCAGTCAGTCCAGGAGTGGGGCCGGAGAGCCGGGGGCGGGGGGCGGGACGCAGTGAGTGCCCCAGGGGAGAGAAAAGGCCCCCACCTGCCCACTGTCACAGGGGAGAAGGGTGCTCCCTTACAGCCCCGTTTGGACAGAGGAGACATGGAAGGTTCTGTGTGCTGCCGGGCCTGTGACCTGAGCTAGCAGAGCAGTGCTTTGGAGCAGGTGGGGCTGTATAAATTAAAGGCTCTTTTTTTTTTTTTTCAGGCATCATGGACAAATCTAAAGAAAACTGCATTTCAGGGGTGGTTAAGGTAAATGGAATAATGTGTCAACAGTCTCAATCATGTTTATAGAACCCAAATGGAGGTCCTTCTTCTACCTGGAATTGTTGCCACCTTCACTTTAGATTTGTAACTTCAGATCACTGTTCTCGGCATTCAGGAACACTTCGTTGACTCTCTCACTGTGTCCCTTTTGTTCTACTTCATCTTACACTCAGCTGATCAAGTCTGTATCATTCCGGCGCAGGCAGGGTAGTAATGCTCACAGTAGGCGCCTAATGCTTGGCCTGGGCTCGCTTGCCAGAAATTAATTTCTTTGCCACAGTGCGTTTCGGCCTTGATTCGGGGAGTGGCAAGTTCAGAGGAATGTCGAGCACAAGTTAGGGAGTGTTTCCTGGGACCCCGCTTTGAACCAGGTTCCGGGTCAGATGCAGGGGCTGGGAGCACACGGTCTTTGACTTGGAGGAACTTGGGGCCGTGCGGGGGCCGGGGGGGCGGGGTGGGAGCCAGTTCCGGGCCTTGCTGTACATCAGTAGGACCGCCGCGCTTCCGAGGAGGGGCACTCGCTTCGGATCGGGTTAGGCTGGGGTCCAGGGAGGCTTCCCCAGGAAGGACCCCCGGTCTCAGTGTCTGACGAGTGTCTGCGGGGCACCCGGCTGGCTGGCGGCGTCTCGCAGGTGAAGACCCCGTGACGGCAGCACTCCCCAGGAAATCAGCCTAAGCGTGCATATTGCTCGGGCTTTGGCCGGGGGTAGGGCTTGTTTTTACAAGTCTTTGTCTTTGAGTAAATGGACACTGGCCCTTCTTTGACTGGCTGGAGGCATAAAAGGACCAATTAGAAGAAGCTCAGCCGGAGTCACTGTATTTGATTCTCCATTCGAGCGATGCACATCATTGTTAAAGACTCTTCTATTTGAAATGTTTGTCATTGCCTGATTGCCTGCCCTGTGTGGATGCCCCTGATTTCAGAAGGGAGCGGCTCCGTGCTCGGAAACCCTGTCTGGCACCAGTGAGCTGGCGGGGGGATTCGGGGGCCTCCCTTTGCGGCAACGCCTCCTCATTCATTAGGGCCTCTCCGCCCAGCGAAGCTGCAGGAAGTGTTCCCTCCTCGTGCTAGTTTGATCAGCTCAGGGTCTTAGACTCAAATTAACTGTTTTCTAAGTTGGTGATATTCTACTTACAGACACATAAATAATATATTTTGGTAATAACTTTTATTTTGTAAAGATTTTATTTATATTTAGAAGGAAGAGAGAAAGAAGGGGAGAGAAACATCGATGTGTGGTCGCCTCTCACATGCCCCCAGCTGGGGACCTGGCCTGCAACCCAGGCACGTGTCCTGACTGGGAATCGAACCAGTGACCCTTTGTTTCCCAGGATGGCACTCAATCCACTGAGCCATACCAACCAGGGCTGTTTTTGTAATAACTTTTTAAAGAACCTGTGTTTGTTTTCTTTTTGCCAAAGTTGTTTTGATTCAGATCCTTTTTGTAAGTAGTACTTGCGAAATAATCAGTAATAATGAGCCTTTTGTCAAAAATCTGGCAATTACAAAAAAATTCAGACTATTTTCTTTGTCTTTTAAAAGTTCTTCACTTGAAGATAATCACTATTGAACATTTTGATGTATTCTTTCCATTTTTTTCCCCCTAAACATGTATTGTCAAATTTTAGTGCCATCGGGATTTTGATACCAAGTTTCTGTATTGCAGCTTTTTGCGAAGTGATAATTCCCGAGTCATTGACTTCTTAGAAAGTGTTTCTCCCTCTTTAAATGGGACTTTAGTTAATGACCATTAGTTTACGGGAGCATGGGTTTCGGGGTGGGCGTGGGGAGGGGTCAGGAAGTAGCATTCAGGTGGTCCCTCCAGCCACGGATACTGACCGTGTCCTCCGGAAGTGCCCGTCAGCACAGCTTTCCCCTCCGTCTGTTACCAGTGACACCCCTCGCTTTGCTGGCTAGAAAACAGATTCTCGGAGCATGCAGCCTTGGTTGACGGAGACCTTGACGCTTCTTTCACTTCTCCCCCCCGCCCAGCCCACGGTGCCGCCGGGCGACGGCCCGAAGCGCGTCCCGGTGCCTCAGCAGTTCCCGTCGCAGCACCCCGTCCCTGCGAACAGCGGCCAGGCACAGAGGGTGCTGTGTCCTTCCAACTCCTCCCAGCGAGTGCCCCCGCCGGCACAGAAGCTTGTCTCCGGCCACAGACCGGCTCAGAGCCACCTGAAGCAGAAGCAACCGCAGGCAGCCAGCGCCCCTCGCCCCGTCTCCAAGCCGCCGCACAACCCGCAGAAGAGTGAGCAGCCCCAGCCAGCGGCCCCCGGTAAAGCAGCTTCTGGGGGCTCGTTGGACAGTCATGCTTCCTGGTTGCTTCGGGGAGAAAGCGAGTGTGCAGACTTGTGTTTCGTGTTGTGTAGGGCCCTAGCTCTTGTGTCAGTTTGATGTATGATACACGATAACGCGGCTGGGGACAGAGTTGGGTGTCAGGTTGGAGTAACAGTGTCTCCTGTGGGCAGGCCTGGGTGAAGAACGCAGACCCAACTCCTAGCTGCGTGGTCCCTTGGAGGGACCGGGAGGCCCCGGGGTTCCGGAGCCTGGAGGGAGAGCGGGGAAGTGGACTGAGGGCTGCGGCAGGCAGGGCCAAGGTCACGGAGGCGCTGTGGGAGCGGTGGGCTTCCTCCCCCGCACCCTGGGAAGCTGCGGAAAGGGTGTGAGCGGAGGATGGACGTGCCTGTGGGGGCTCACTCCGGGTGTGTGGGCTGAGCTGGGGTAGTGATGCGGGACTGGGGGTGCCGGACAGCGGCGAGGCCGCAACTGGGTGGGCAGGGTGGGTGTTCGTCGTCAGCATGTAGCTCCTGTGGAGGGCGTGCGCACACCGTGGGCTCTGAGATGAGTCTCTCTTCGCCCGCCGTGTCTCTCCCGACCCCGGCACCGCGCTGTGAAGGTGGTCAAGGTCACTGACTCCGTTTCACGGAGGGGGAAGCTAGACGCAAGGCCTTGACTCACTCTGAGACGGCCAGGAGGGGCCAGGAGGGGGAGGCGCGGGCGGGAGAGGGCGGGCAGGGACCGGACACGGGGGCGGTGGTTCTGTGGATGGCGTAGTTGCCCCGGAGACGGCGGGCTGTGGAAGGAAAACCGGTGTGGCCCTGCCCCCACGTGTCCAGCAGCCTACTCTGCTGCTGTCGGGCGGGGGTGCTGGACAAGAGCAACCGTCCGGTCTAGACTCCGGCCGATGACACGGCGACTGGAGCGCCCTGGTGGGCTATTGGTTTGCCCCGTTTTGCTGAATTGGTGGCTTCTGTTCCCTGCAGTCCCCCCAGGAGGAATGTGGGGGGGGTGGCTGGCTGAGGGGCAGCTGTATCTGGTTGGTCCTGTGTGTGGGCGGCGTGTGGACAGTGGGCTAGCCCACAGAGCGGGGAAAAGGGGGCCAGGTGGGAGCTGGTCAGGGACGGGAGGACGTAGTTCTGCTGCGGAAACTCCTCACTTGGAAACCGAGGCTTTGAGGGGAGCCCGCGCAGTCCCGAGTCTTCGGGTTGCTGGCTCGCCTGGCGTACAGTCCGCGCGTACTCGCTCCAGAAGGATCTGCAGGCGTCACGGGGTGGCAGTCGGGCAGGTTGCGGTGCTCTTTCTCCTACAGAATGAACTAAAGGTGGCCCAGGTCTGTAATTCTGGACATGTCATTGATAGTTTGGTGACCATTCTGTGACTCGTTTCTGTTCACAGGTTTTTAACTCATTTTGTATAGTGATTCTAAAAACAGGTTTTTAAATTATTCTCTATAGGAAATAATTCTGAAAAGGAACTGGCATCGAAGCAGAAAAACGAAGAATCAAAAAAGTAAGTGTTTCTTACTTCTGAAGTTCTGTGCTGTCATTCTATCAGAATGCATCATTTAATTACAGATTTAATTTTGGGAACTCTTTAAAAGGTAAATAGCTCTTTATATTTTCATTTAAAAATATAAATTCCTAACCTTTTTCTAACCTTTATAAAAAAGAAAAGGGATTTTAATGATGGATGTTTACTTAGGGACTTGTTTTTTTTTTTGAACTTGAGACTAACGCTCGTGTGAGTCTGCTACAGAAGTGTGTAACATAAAAGAAGTTTCTGCCCTCAGAAGGGACCCCTCCGTACGGTTTATATGTGCTTCTGTATGATTTTCAATTCGTATATGGAAGTACAAGTCTGTTTAACAATGAGGTCGTGTTGCCGAGCCACGCAGACACGCCGCACGGTCACACGGGTGTTTCGACAGTGTCCCTGTGTTGTCGTGTTTTCACGAGAAGGCTGGGCTGTGGCGTGTCCCCCCGGCGTTGCCTGAAAGCCTGCTGCAGTCCCCGAGTGTCGGACTCTAGAGCACGGCAGGGGGAGCCGGGAGTGGCCCGCACGTTTCCTGCGTCAGCTGCCCAGCAGAGACTTCCTGGTTCTCCGGTGGTTCTGCCCCAGCTGCCTGGGGGGTCCATCCCGCCTGCTCTGCAGGAGGGGGTCTCACCCCCAACAGGGTCGGCATCTCCAGGGTCGGAGGAGAGGAGGCTGTGGTCTGTTCGCCAGCGGCCCACAGGTGGTTCCGGGCCTTTGCCCCTCCCCACGCACTTACCTAGCCCTTGCTGTGGTCTGTGGTGTCAGTGGTCGTCTCTGTGCCTTCGGACGCCCCCTTGAGTGTGTCGGCACTGGAGGTCCCGAGTGCTCCTCGTCATGGATGGAGCCGGTGGCCGCCCGGCTGGGTGGGGAGCAGGGCGTGTAATGTCTGTGGTGACTCATTAATGGTGGCTTTGGCTTGTCTGGCAGAGGGTGTGCTCTGAGTACGATAAATATAAAATTATCTGTAGGGTGTGCCTACTACTCGTTAACTGTTAGAAAAGACAATTCGTGTTCTTGATCTGTCAAACGATCACATTTTTCCCTAGAAGGCAGTGGGCTTTAGAAGACTTTGAAATTGGCCGCCCTCTGGGCAAAGGGAAGTTTGGAAATGTTTACCTGGCGAGAGAAAAGCAAAGCAAGTTCATCTTGGCGCTGAAGGTCCTGTTCAAGGCCCAGCTGGAGAAAGCAGGAGTGGAGCACCAGCTGAGGCGGGAAGTGGAAATACAGTCTCACCTAAGGTGAGGCGCGGGACTTCGGGTTACTCGGATAAACGGTTACAGATTTCTTCCTGGGGGGCCTGCTTCACAGATAGTCCTGCAGAGCGATGAAATTTGTCATTTTTCAGAGATTTTCCTAGACTTCGGTGGCCCTGAAAACTATTTTGAAGATGTATGTTGAATGATTTACATGAATAATTTGTTTTCTTCTTTGGTGCATCATGAGGGGAATGACACCTCCTAGTCTGAGCGGAAGTTACAGGGAGACCGCAGCTTGGCTTTGGTCGGTGGGTCTTCAGTGTTTTTTCAAACAAAGCGGTTGCTGAAAGTTGGCCTGTATGATGCCACTTTCCCTGCGTGGCGGCCACTGGCTGGGGGTGAGACGGGCTGATGGCGTGGACGGGCTGTGCCCTCGGCCGCCCGGAGTCCCCGGCCGTGCACCCCAGGGCCGTTCTAGAAGAAGACCGCTTTTGAGTTTTGTCCCACGGCCTTCGGTATCCAGCTGCTGTGGTGATGCCAAGTCTCTTTCTTTTAACTTGAAGGGAACTGATATCTAGCTGAGTTCTTTCCGCCCTAGAAATAGACACGGCCTAGAGGAAGGAAATAGTAGCCTTGGATAAACCGAATGCCTTGAGATGCGTGTAAACTGATGTGCGGATATGTGGATTTGTGTTAGAGTGGGTCTGTAGTTTCAGATTCTCAAGTTGGGGGCCGGGTGGGGGTCCTGTGAGCAGGACCAGTTCTCAGCACTGGTGTCACGGGAAGGGTTGGTCTGGCGTTGAGCGCACATTCCGTGGTCGTGGGTCTGCTGCGAAGCCAGGTGTTAGAGCGGCCGTCCTTTGTTGCAGGCACCCGAACATCCTCCGGCTGTACGGGTATTTCCACGACGCCACCAGGGTCTACCTGATTCTCGAGTACGCGCCCCTCGGAGCCGTCTACAGAGAGCTCCAGAAGCTGTCCAGGTTCGACGAGCGGAGGACCGCCACGGTGAGTGTCTGCCTGCTCCCCAGACCGGCCCGGCCCCGCCCCCGCCCCCGCTCCTCAAGTGGGCGCCCCGAGCTGCAGCGGGGGCGGGGGGTCTTCCTGCAGCGGCAGCTCGGTGGGACCGCACACCGGCAGGGGAAGGCCAGTCACCGTACCGTACGTGCAGACGCGGTCGGGTACCAGGTGGGATGTCGGGGCCAGTTTGTTTGCAAAGCAGTTTTTCTGTGGAAGTGTATGTGAGTGGTTGCCTTTAAAAAATGAACTATCGGAGAGTAACTTTTTACAGAATAATTGTGAAGATAAGTACAGGCCTGTTCTCTCCTGTGGACAACACACACTTAATTTCCCCATTAGCACGGCACGTTCGTCACAGCTGGTGACCAAGTGTCAACGCACAGCTGGCAGCGGGAGCTGGTTCTGTACTCAGAGTTCCTCGGCTTTAGTTTTCCTCGTGGTCACACTGGGCTCAGGTCGCAGACACGTATGTCAAGGGTACGCACCGACCTGTCGTGGTGGCCGGTGGCCTTGACCCCCTGGCCAAGGTCGAGGTCGGCACCCTTCCCACACCGTGTGGCTGCAGGGGAAGCTACCGACTGTGCACAGCCGCACTGACGGGGTGGGCTATTACGACGCCCCACCTGCGGTAGGGCAGAGCGTCTGCACACGTCGTGTCGGATCTCCTCCTTGCGTATCCACTCAGTCATTTGTTAACATGGACTCCTCGGTTTTGTGTTCTTGGAGCTGCAACCCAGCGCCGGTTTATTTCGTTGCTGGAGTTGTTCCAGTTTTGTCCACTGGGAGCGCTCTCACGAGGTCCCTGTGTTCTCTGACGCCCCCCTTCACTGTGGATGTGAGGTGGTGGCTTCTTATTTCAAGCTTCCTGACACTGCAGGACGCTCCAGTCTCGTCTTGTGTCTCTCCTGCCCGACCCTACACTCACCACTCCTCCAGAGAGCGCCGGCGCCTCTGCTGGAAAGTGTTACTGGGAGCCGCGATCCGGCTGCTCGATGGGCTCGTAGCTGCCGAGTGTCTTCTCGGCGCTCAGCGGACAGAGAGCAAACGTGTGCTCACTGGTCGGTCCGGGCGTCTGCACGTATCTGTCAGTAGTCCTGTTGATCCATCTGCGTGTGTATGAAGCAAAGCACGAGGCATTACCTTGCTTTTCTGTAACCCTAACCCTCCAACACTGGGAAACCTGGGTTCCACCGCCTTCCGTCCAGTGGTTCGGTCACTCGGCGCCTGTGTGCACGGACGGTGGTGCCCGTGATCTGGTCACTCGGTGCCCGTGTGCACAGACGGTGGTGCTGTGGTTCGGTCACTCGGTGCCTGTGTGCACGGATGGTGGTGCCCGTGATCTGGTCACTCGGTGCCTGTGTGCACAGACGGTGGTGCCCGTGATCTGGTCACTCGGTGCCCGTGTGCACGGACGGTGGTGCTGTGATCTGGTCACTCGGTGCCCGTGTGCACGGACGGTGGTGCCCGTGATCTGGTCACTCGGTGCCCGTGTGCACGGACGGTGGAGCCCGTGATCTGGTCACTCGGTGCCCGTGTGCACGGACGGTGGTGCCCGTGATCTGGTCACTCGGTGCCCGTGTGCACGGGACGGTGGTGCCCGTGATCTGGTCACTCGGTGCCCGTGTGCACGGACGGTGGAGCCCGTGATCTGGTCACTCGGTGCCCGTGTGCACGGATGGTGGTGCCCGTGATCTGGTCACTTGGTGCCCGTGTGCACGGACGGTGGTGCCAGTGATCTGGTCACTCGGTGCCCGTGTGCACGGACGGTGGTGCCCGTGATCTGGTCACTCGGTGCCCGTGTGCACGGACGGTGGTGCCCGTGATCTGGTCACTCGGTGCCCGTGTGCACGGACGGTGGTGCCCGTGATCTGGTCACTCGGTGCCCGTGTGCACGGACGGTGGTGCCCGTGATCTGGTCACTCGGTGCCCGTGTGCGCGGACGGTGGTGCCCGTGATCTGGTCACTCGGTGCCCGTGTGCACGGACGGTGGTGCCCGTGATCTGGTCACTCGGTGCCCGTGTGCACGGACGGTGGTGCTGTGGTTCGGTCACTCGGTGCCCGTGTGCACGGACGGTGGTGCCCGTGATCTGGTCACTCGGTGCCCATGTGCACGGACGGTGGTGCCAGTGATTCGGTCACTCTGTGCCTGTGTGCACGGACGGTGGTATCCGAATGGTTAACCCGTCACCCCCGTGGGAAACAACTGGTACACACGCGGGAAGATTCATCTGTGTCTCCTCAGGGCTTGTTACAGCCCATTTCTTTTCACTGGTGAATAGCGCTGCACTGTGGGGACGTGCCTGGGTCGACCCCTTCACCTGTGGAAAGGCACCTGGGCTGCGCCCAGTGCCTGTGGTGGCTGTGCAGAGAGCTAACAACATCTGCCTGGGGGTCTTTGTGCCACGTGAGGCTCAGATCTGCTGGGTAAACACCCGGGGGCGCAGCTAACTGGGCGTGTGAGGTCAGCATGCGCTCGGCTCTGGGAGAGACTGGTCAGCTCTCTCCTGAAGTGGCTGCGCCACCCTTGAGTTTGCTGGTGAGCCAGAGCCCCTGCTGTTCCTCGTCCCACCAGCAGTTGGCGTTGCCACTGTTTGGATTTTAGCCATTCTGACAGGTGGGTCATGGCGTCTCGTTGTTAATTTGCAATTCTCCAATGACGCGGTGTTGAGAATTACTTCGTGTGCTTATTTGCCACCCCTGGCGTCTTCGGGGTGTGGGTTCAGATCTTTTGCTCATTTTTATATTGTTTTTTGTCATCTTAATTGTTGAGCTTTAATCGTTCCCGCACTTTCGATACACGTCCTTTACCGCACGCGTGTTTGACAGGCGTTTTCCTGTCTGGCTCGTCTTCTCGTTCTCTTATCTGGGGCTCTGGCAGGGCAGGCGTTTTAGATCTTAAAGTCCAGGATGTTAGGTTTCTGTTTTGGGGTGGTGTTTCCCCTCCATGGGTTGTGCTTCTGTTTTATTTGAATGAAATCACTCGTTTGAAGAAGTTGGAGTCTTAATTTGGGCTGTTTTCTATTGAATTGGCAGACGGGGGGGCCTGTTGAACGGCGGGTCCTTAGATTTGCTCCCGCCCGTGGTGGAGATCTCTGGGGACTGTGTGCACTGGTTTTTCTTTTTGGCGATGATTTAAGTGGCATCACATTCAGGAGGCTTCCCTGTTACGCTCTGAAATCACCGCCCTCTCGGTGAGTGGCGCTCTGGTCGTGTCCGGCACTGAGGGCGCGCCATTTTAACCTTGGCTGATTGCTCTCCAGATGAGCAGGAACAGGTCTGTTTTATTTGCTCTTACAACGTTAGCGCACCAGATTAGTGTGCTATTTAATTGGCAGTGAGTACTCCTACGGCTCAGCTTTCTTCAGTCCAGATGGAGTTCGCTGTGGTGCGAGCAGACAGGTGTTGGGAGGAAAATCAGACCAGTTCTTTGCAAGAGTCCGTGGTACTTGGGATGAATGCGCCCACGCGCCCCTGCTTTCCTTTTCTGTGGATTCAGACAGAACCAGCCGTAGAGAGCCAGGAAGGGGCGTCACCCGGCCCCGAGGGGTGCCGAGGGAGGGGTGCCGAGGGAGGCGTGCCGGCCCTGGCGCCAGAGGGCGCGGGTTTGCTACGAGCTGCTCGTCTTGCACTGAGCAGGCAAACGCGCCGCTTCCCGGCGTTCTGATGTCACTGGAGAGCGCTCTGTCCTCTTCACTGTCAGTGTGTTGTGGTCTAGATGTTGGTCTCTGCCTTTCGGCTGAAAAAGTGAAAAACGTCCTCTCTGGCAGTCATGCTTGGTCTGTGCCCATTTGTGTAGTAAACCTTCTTTGGTGCGGCATCCTGTTCGGTGCCATCTAGCAGTTGCTTTGGGAAAGCAGCCCGCTCGAACTTGAGCCAGAGCTAAACGTATTCTTGCAGCACACGGACACATTCTCATCTGTGTGTTGAAGCGAAGTCTGGCCTTGCCTGGCCTTTCCTCGTCTCGGTGGAAACAGCACTCACCGAGGGGCTGGCTCGCCTGCGTACTGTTAAGCTGATGATCAGTTTGCCTGGAACTTAACATGCCAGTGCGCCCGCTTCTGGTTTCTGTCTGTTGTCCAGGGGCATTTCTGTCTCTGACACTCCTCGTGTGGGTGTTTAGCTTCAAACACATCGTCTGTGGTCAGTTGAGCTTGGTTTTAAAAATGGAAAATGACTGTCCTTGAGAGATTTTTTTTTAAATTGTGTTTTTAAAAATGGTTTATGTCTGAGTCCCTAATTTGTACTGATTATTCAGTAGTGTCTTAATTGCTGGGGCATTCATTGTCATGGGGGGGGGTGTAGTTACAGCCCATCAGTGTTTTCCTTGTCTTCCGATGTCAGACCTGCTGTGCTGGCAAATAAGTAGCCTCGCACTGAAGGACTTGTGCTCCATGCTGAACACTAATTTGGTTCCATTGATTTTTTTTTTTGAGTCATCAGTTTGGTTTTATCTTTTGCTTTAAAACATATAAAACATGTTAAATATCTGTGCTGGGTTTTGTTTCAGAAGAGATGTCTAAACTTAACTTGTCACAAAATCTAAAACACAGATTTTTAATGCTTTTTTTTTTTTAACAGTATATCACAGAATTGGCAGATGCCCTGTCTTACTGCCATTCAAAGAGAGTTATTCACAGAGACATTAAGCCGGAGAACCTGCTCCTGGGATCAGCCGGAGAGCTCAAGATTGCAGATTTCGGGTGGTCCGTACACGCCCCGTCGTCCAGGTACGTGCCCGTAGAGGGGGACTCGTTGGGTTTCTGAAAGCCCCGGCGGCGGATCACGAGCTAGACGGCGAACTGCCCGAGCGCAGGGGCTGCGCGGAGCCGGGGCAGGGGACTGGCCGGGCACTCGGCGTGAGTGAGGCCCCAGCAGCGAAAGGGTGTCTTCAGGGACGTCGTTATCCTGCGACCACTCGGGCTATTTATTGCATCCTAGGCCTGGCGTTACAGATGCCGATGGGACAGGTAAGGTGTGACTAGTATGGGCGCAGGCGAGGTGCAGGGCTGCGGAGGGGTGTGACCCTGGCGTGGCAGTGGGTGGGACACGCTCCGGGGGCAGCACCGGCGAAGGCCCAGAGCGCAGGGCGTGGTTCTGCCAGAGCTTTGGCAACCACACGGGCCCCTTGGGTGGACCTTCCAGGGTGGTGGGTGAAGATTCTCCCTGGTCTACTGCTGTCCACAGAGTAGTCCTTCCTCGTCCCCTCCTAAATTGAAATCTTGTGTGAGCTTTGCAACCAAGAGTGAAGATATTCTCTACTGTTCTAAAGTTAATTTGGGTTTAAATAAACTTTTGAAACCACACATGAAGTAGAGCATTTAAAAGCATGCATTTACTGATAGGAATTTGTCCACTTTGGGGTAGGTCTTAAACAATTATAGCCAGATCACTTTAGAAAATAAAGCTAGTTTGTTTTTTTTATCTTAAAAATAAAGGTAGTTAAGGAAAAATCGTATAGCCTAAATATTGCCACGGCGTGGGTGAGCTTTGTTTTTGTCACCAACCACTTGTGATTGCTTCTAGCAATGGGTTGAATCTGCTTTAAAAAAAATCTGGTTGTCTGCCGCCAGTGGGCGCTGTTGCACCCGCTGAGGCAGTCCATGAATTGCAGGCTCTGTGCAGCACAGGGCTAATTAAACCTGTCCCTTCACTGTCCGGTGGTGTCACTGTGATGGGAAAGGTAACCGCGCTGCTCTGGAAAGGACATTTATGTCAGTGTGGATGGCCACTTCGCCCCGTCTCCCAGACGTTACTAGCCGGGAGAGCCGCCAGGTCACTGGGTGCCGTCTCCGGCACCTCGGTGGTGATGAGGGGCTGGGTGTCTGCAGAGCTGGCCCTCGTCCCCGGTGGCCGGCCACCCGGTTGAGCGGGCGCCTGCGCGCTGGCCGGGCCGAGCAGCACGAGCCCGCCCGGTCTCCGTTCCGGGCCTGCCTCCCGCCGCCTCAGCTCATCCGCAGCCTTCGCTAGAAAACTCCCGCAGAAGCGCTGGAGGCGGCCATGCGGCGGGCGGCCCAGGGCGCGCGCAGCGGTGGGCGTGCTGCCCTTCGGGCTGTGTCTACTTTTGCGGCGAACCTTCAAGAGTAGGTTGCAGACACCACGATTCCTTGTGCTTGGAGCACCTCGGTGCGCACCTCCTGGAAGTAAGGACATTGTCCCATCTTGTCCCGACCACTGGCACTCTTCAGAAAGGAACCTTGGTAACAGCCAACACTTAGCCCATCCATGCTCAGACGTTTCCAGTTGTCCACAGACCTGGATAACTGTTTTTTTTAAATCAGGATCCATCCAAGGTCCATGCATTCTATTTCTGTCTCTTTGGTCTAAACTTAGACCAGTTGCCCCACAATTTAAGATGGATTTTTCTGACCGCGGTGCCCCTTAGCTTTGTCCTTTATCCTCTGTATTTGCTGGAAATGGGAAATTGGGCCTCAGGGCTCGAAGGATATTTTTGGCGAGACCACCTCACAGGCCACCCCCAAACTGTAGCGTCTGCAGTGCCAGTGAGGCTAGAAGGCAGCGCACGCCCGTAGCCCCGGACCTAGTGCTTTTGTTGCAGTGGGACGGTTTCTCGTCCTGACGTTACCTGGCTCTGAAGCCTCTTAGCTTACCTGCCCTGTAAAAACTTCAGAATGCTAAACTGTACTCACAGAGAACTTTGCATGGCTGCTGTCATGTGGTAGTGACTGGGCAAGTTGGGGTACAGCTTGGTTGCCGCCTGTGTGATCTCGCACAGCCCCCTCGGGCCGTTTGCTGCCGGTTACACAGTAAAGTGGAGGTTTACACAGGACCTATGTACGTCCCAGCCCAGGACCCGGCCGGCTGGGGAGGAGCACTCAGCCAGGGTCAGGGGGCTGGCAGTGACTCCCGGCAGCTGCTGCTGCAATCACTCAAGCGGGCGCGTCAACCCGGGCCTCCCCGTTCCTAGGAGGACCACCCTGTGCGGCACCCTGGACTACCTGCCCCCCGAGATGATCGAGGGCCGGATGCACGACGAGAAGGTGGATCTCTGGAGCCTGGGGGTCCTGTGCTATGAGTTTCTAGTTGGGAAGCCCCCCTTTGAGGCCAGCACGTACCAAGAGACCTACAAAAGGATATCGCGGGTAAGACGCAGCTCTGAGGGACCGGTCGCCTCTGTCAGCCAGCACCCTTCTCCGTCCTACCCGCCTTCCCGCCAGGCTGCGTCGGAGCACTTGCACTGTTCTCTCTAAGCCTCGTTTTCTGACCGCCTGTCCCTTCTCCTGCTCCAGGTTGAATTCACATTCCCTGACTTCGTACCCGAGGGAGCCAGGGACCTCATCTCAAGACTGCTGATGCACAACCCCAGCCAGAGGCCGACCCTGAAGGAGGTGCTGGAGCACCCCTGGATCACCGCCAACGCCTCCAAACCGCCGAGTAGCCAGAAAAGCAAAGAATCGGCCAGCAAGCAATCTTAAGACTCTTGCAGGGGGAGGACCCCGTGAGCCAGGGCTGCTGTGTTAACTGGTTAACTGGTCAGATACACACCTCTTCACCTGCCTGTACTGCTGACGGCCTGCCTGCTGCCCGCAGCACTGTGGAAAATAAATATATCTACAGTTTTTTTCTGAGCAGGCAGTACGTCGTGCTCCCCCCTGGGGCAGTTCACCTCAGTAAACGTGCCACTGAAGCAAAAGTCGCCACGAGAATTGCACTAACTTCCCTGGTTTCATCATCAGGAGGCGAGGTTCAAGGGCAGCCGCCCCGTAGCCTGTTTGGACTAGGCGTCCTTGCCACAGGTGACCCGGAGCCCACGGCGGCCGGGTGGCCCCCGCACCCTGACCCGGTCAGTCAGCAGCTGTGCAATAAGCTCCCATGTTCCTGAGTGTGTGTGTAATTTATTGGGTGGCCGCACCTGGGAAAGCTGTCGGAATGAGTCTGTGACTCTTTTAAATGTTAAAATAAAGAGATGTGCATAGCCTTTGTCCCTTCCGGAATGCTCTGTCACCACCGTTAGACCTGCTGTCGGGTCCCCTTAACCACTCGCCTTTTGTCTGAGCCTGCAAGCTGGGAGCACGCGCTCTACCTCCGTCGCGGGACCTGCTCAGGACGCAGATGAGACACGTGGGTCTCAGCCAGTTCTACGTGTTCAGGGCCTGTACAAAATGTTGATGGTTTACGTGTTGTTTTTGTAAATACATTAAGACATATACAAAATGGTTATTCTCTGAAGCTCTCATGTTTTGTTTTGTTTTTTAAGTTTATTTTTAGAGAGGGGGAAGGGAAGGAGAAAGAGGGAGAGAGACATCATTGTGTGGTTGCTTTTTGCACGCCCCCTAGTGGGGACCTGGTCTGCAGTCCAGGCATGTGTGTGCTCTGACTGGGAATCGAACCGGTGACCCTTCGGTTTGCAGGCTAAGCCACCGAGCCACACCAACCAGGGCTGAAGCTCTCATGTTTTACCTTGACGACTGCAGTGCGTGTCCCAGGAGTCCACACGGCGGCCCCTGAGCAGTGGCCGGCCTCCACTTGGGCCTGGGCGGGGCGGCAGGATGGTCCGTGGGGGTCATGGGGCCAAGGTCCTAGAGCCGGCCCGGCCTGCGGACACCCCTCCGCCATTCCCTCACCCACCCCGCAGGGGCTGGGGCCACAGCTTGGGAGGACGGTCGCTGGCCATGCAGTAATGAGCTGGAGAGGTCTCTAGACCGGGGGGGGCGGGGGGGGGCACCTGAGGCTTGGAGGACATGGGAGGATTTGCAGGTTGGAGGCCGGTGCGGCCACAAGTTGCTACTGCTGACGGGGGACAGCGGGGAACCTGGCGCAGAAGTGGGGAGCGGTGGCTGTGTGACCTCGTGGTAGAATCCCTCATCCCTCCCCGAACCAGGGGTCTGGGTGTGACCTGTGTTCCTTGTGGCCTATGAAAGTGGGAGCCCCTTAGCTTCTTCCTGGGCCCCCTTGGTCACCTGGCTACCCCGGGGGCTTGTTTCTATTACGCTGGAGTTACAGTGTGTGTGTGTGTGTGTGTGAGCTTGAAACAAACTGCCCCAGTGGGAGTAGCTAAACTTGTGTCACTTCCCCAAACGGAATCGCACGCAGCAGGGAAAACAGCTCATGGTAGGGGCAGGACATTAATGAACTAGTCACACACGGCCCTGCTTTGCAGTCAACAGTTGGGGCTTTCCAGAAGAGCACACACGTTTCATAAACTTCACAAAGACGTGTATTTGTTTCACAGAATTTAAGCTGCTTGTTTTGTCAGAGAAAAAAAACGGGAGGTGAGCAAGTGGCTTTACATCTTTAAAATAGATCATTTTATTCCCAGTGGCATAAAAGCAGTGTAAATACAAGCAGTGTGCACATCCTGACGGCGCACTGACAGTGATTCCTTGAGTCCCTCCCCCTCCCCAGCTCTGCTGTCCGGGCCGCGGGCTGCGGGAGAGGGGCCGAGTAGAGTCTGGGCGTAGAAGGGACACTATGGCTGTTTGACGGGGTGACTTGTTTTATTGCTTTTGCCCATCCAGTCCATTCACATTAGTCCAAACAGAGTCAGAGGTTAAGATTTAAGCCCTTAAACCCGTGGGAGTCCCTGTCAGCTTTTCTGCATAGGCATTCTAGGGGTCTGTTTGGAAGGGAGGCACGTGTAGAGGGGGCCAGGGGCCCAGAGCCCGTGGCTGAAAGGAAGACCAGCCCGGATGAGAATGCCGCGGGCTGGCTGGTCCGAGGGAGGAAGGACCTCACACTGGCTGGCCATGGGGCATCTCGCCCGGCCGTGCGGATGTCCTCAAACTTAGGTCCCAGAAAGGCAGTTCCAACTTCTAAGGAGGTAAAACCTTTTGGCCGTGAGCCAATTGCTTTAAAAGGGGAAAAATATGGATCCACTTTGGAGACGTTGCAAGTGGAGAATCTGTCCCATCATGATTTTTTTTTGAAAAGCAATGGACAGGGGTCACCAACAGCCAACTAGGGACTGTCAGCAGCTAGATCAGAAAATCAGAACATTAGCTTATAGTTTCAGTTTTGTTTGTCCCCAATGCAATTAAACTAAAACATGGGTGCCAGGAAGTTGAACACAAGGAGCTGCCCTGTGCAGGGGGGCAGGGCAGAACTGGTTAAACGGGGTTCCCGGAGCCGGCTCAGCGTGAGAGCGGCTGCAGCGGTGGTGGCGGCAGCAGCAGCCTGAAATGGCACAGGCCCCGCAGGAAGGGGGCGCAGAAGCAAGTCCTCCCCTCCCTCCCAGCTGCTGTTATTTCACAGTTGTCTTCCACTTATAGCAAGTGCTACTAACTTTCCTTTTCAGAGAGAGTCAAAAAAATTTTTTTTAACTGCACATAACTTGAACTCAATTGAAAAACAGAAGTAGCAACACAATGTAAACACTGGGACAGCGCTGGAATGTCCGGAGTTCGAGACGCAGAGGGTTAGGCAAAGATTGTCTCGGCTTCGCACATGCGCAGTGTCCGTGCTCCTCTGAGGACACGGGCGTCGGGGGCTGAGGGATGCCATCACTGTGGGGCACGTTCCCACACTTTACCCAAACGGAGAAAATGACCCTGAGCTACTTCCCTGAAATTTGAGGAAAAGCCCCTGAGACGGGCCCCCACCCTGTCCCCATGCGAAGGGGTTTGGGGGCCAAGGAGACACACCAGACGTCCTTGTTCTCTTTTCCCTCAGACACGTGTACCGAGCGCGCAGGTGTTGGTGCTGACTCGGGTCCCGATGACGGAGGGTGCCGTCTTCCCTTCTGCTCCATTCATTGTAGCGCCGGCAGCCGCACTGCGGCGGAATATTGCACATTAAACCGCAGGCAGCCTGGCAACAAATACTGTGGGGAGGGGAGTTTTAAAATCGGCTGAATGAATCCTTCGTGGCTCTTCAAGAGCTTGAACTGCAGAACGACCCTCGCCAACGATCTTCCAGAGGGACGCGGGGGAAGCCGACAGCAGCTTACGGCGACGACCCATCTGGGATGTGTTGCTGACATTTTAGACCACGTATACAAGCTCTATGATAAATACAAGCCCTATGATACATTTCTAAAATGTAACAAAATTTATAAAGGAAAAAAAAGACAATCATTCAAACACCTGAATTTTGCCGGCAAAAGCGAAACACCCAAGAGAACACACAAAGTAGCCCCGGCCCCCCAACCCCACCAGAAAAACAACCAAAACCCTACGATCCTAAAACCAACCCAAATGTGTAAAGTAAAAGAAATAGGTTTCCAGGCCCCCTGTCGAAGGGCTAGCTCTTCAAGGCTTTGCAGCCGGAGGCTTAAAAAATCCCACTCTCCGAAAGTATCGGACGACCAGGGGCACGGAGACCAAGGTCACGCTGATCCTCACCGGCGCGAACAGCTTGTGGATGGCGTAGGCCACCACGAAGGTGCCTGTGCCTGTGGCCATCTTCGACTGCACCAGCGACTCTCCGAGCCCCAGCTTGAGCAGGATCGCAGGCACGTCCACGCCACTGCAGGGGAGAGGGGCGGACACAGAACCGAAAACCACTGTTACGGCCTGGAGGCAGCGGAGGCATCGATTTGGCTCTGAGGGTTGCATCGTTTTAAAAAAGCCTGAAGACGGCAGCTCGACAAATACAAGGTCCTGAGACAGAAGGTTCTTACCCACGAGGAGCCTTTCCTGACAGCACGAAACGCGTGCCTGCTGCCGCCCACGGTCTTACCTTGACACGAGCAGGTAGAACATGCCCAGGGAGACCAGTGAGATCCCAACGTGCAGGCCCACGCCGACGGCTCCGTATTCCTGAAAGACCTTCTTCAGCTGCTGGGACTTGCTCTGCTTTTTCTCCTCCGCGTCGCTCACACGGCTGCCTGTTGTCGCAGTGGTTTTGCTGGGGTCCTGAGCACGAACCAAAGAAGGGGGCACCCTCGAGGTCACCGCCAGCTTTCACAATCACGGAGTGTTCTAGTCTCTTGCCCACCCAAGGGGAACTCAGCTCCCCTCTTTCTTACACAGAGGGCCCAGGCCGGTGCCCCCTTAGCCGCTAAGCACAATGAAAGGCTGGGTGCCAGGTATCACGGGCAGAATCACGGCCCCAGACGTGTCCAGGTCCTAGTCTGCAGAACCTGTAGCTGTCACCTTCTGTGGCCAGAGGGTTTTGCAGATGCGACTAGGTGAAGGATCTTGAGTGGGACCCCTGTAATCAATCACCAGGGGCCCCCTAGGTGGAGAGAGGGAGGCAGGAGGGTCAGAGGCTGGAACGTGCCCCACTGCTGCCTCTGGAGCTGGAGGAGGAGGGGCCTGGAGCCAGAGCCCAGCGATGCGGGAGCCTCTGGAAGCTGGAGGGGCAGGAGATGGATTCATTTCCCCCCAGAGCCTCCAGGAGGAACCAGCCCAGCCAACACCTTGGCTCGAGTCCCGGGACACTCAGTTTAGTTTCTGACGTACAGAACACAACAGGGATACATGTGTTGGTTTCACCCACCAGGTCTGCGGTTGCAGCGGCAGGAGGAATTAACGCCGTAGGGCTCACGCGCTTGGGGACCACAGGGACCCGTGGTCTGAGTCCACGGCAGGAGCCCACCACAGCCACGCCAGATGCCACAAAACCTGCACTGTGGGCGCCGAGTATCAGGGAGTGGAAGCGACAGCCGATTTACTCCCGGACCAAGGCTCACCCCGGCCGGGGTCTGTGCAGGTAAAGGAAGGGCCAATACCCAGGCCCCACGCTCCCTGGCTGGGACCCGCACAGAAACAGTTCACGGCGTGTGGCGTCTGCGGGCATTTATTCCGGACTGCGGGGTCTGCAGTGTGCGGGAGAAACAAAAAAACCCTGCAGCACTGGATTAACCAACAACGACAAAGACCCAAACGCCTTCCCGGTACGGGAGGTGCCTTTCTTATCAGAAGATTTCTCTAACTCGGAAGCCAGACGGCAGCGCCCTGCTTGGCAGGCGGTATCTGGGGCAGCTCTAGACGTGGCCTTTGCAGGGGCCCAGGATGCCGTCTTCCTTGTGGTTTTAGAGCCACATTCGAAGGGCAAGAGGGAGGAGTGTGCCAGACGGCCCAGAACACCTTCGGGCAGGGGCAGGACCCGCGGGAATGAAAATGAAATACTCCAGGGCAGCAGTGCACACGGCGGAGCCCCCCACGGTCCCACCCCCCCAAGTCAACAAGGTGTGCCAGCCAGCACCGCAGGGGACCTCCCAGCCTGCCCCCGGCTGCCCGAGGCGGCTGACCTCTGGGGGAAGGCCCCAGGTGGCCCAGAAGCTGCTG